ATAAATGACTGAAACCCAGGAATGAATTTGATTATACATTTAAAGTATGTAATCCTCAATTGTTAATTTCCAGACGATTGGTCCTTTGCAAAATTTGGATGAATTTGCTCGCGACTTTAAATGCTCCATTGGTTCCTACATGAATCCCAGAGAGAAGTGCCGCATCTAACAGAGGAAAATTAGTTGTAATTATTATACGGAAGCGCATGCTTTTTCTTTCTTGGAGGCTGCAGTCAATTCTGGAACAGAGAACAGTTAAATTTCTCTCCACAAAAACACAAAATTTATAAAAATAGTTCGTACTTATTTTTGGTGATATATTTCAAAGCTATAATACAAGTCAGACGATTACATACATGGGTAACTAAATAATATTCACATTGTATTTACGTGTTAAAATTATTATTGAGATTCACGTCAGTTATTCATTAACATTTATGTACATTTATAATTTAAAATTCACAGTCTTTTATTATTGTCGCTTTACCGATCCTCAAAATGTACAATGACTAACGAAACTCAAAGAACATTTGTACATAGTGCTCTTAAACATTAGGTCCTGGAACATACGAAATGTTTTCTTCGATTAATGTTGAATTCTCCTACTGCAAATCTGTTGTAGACTCCATACAATCTAATGTACAAACTCATTGTTGATTTGATACTGTTGGCTATCAACTATCACACTGGTATACGCCGGGTTGTGTCCCACATGGTGCACAAACTCGTGCTTAAACTCTGGATGGTGAACATTTGTTGAACTCCAATTCGTACTGGGCGGCTGCGATGGACTCTGGCCATTGAAGCAGTGAAAATCTGTATTGCTTCCCCCCGAAGGATCGACACTCGCAAGAGGATTGAGCCCAATAGGATGCACATAGCGATGCGTATTATCATTGATGCCGCTCTCTATGGAACTGCAGCTACTTGATGATGCGCTAAATGGTCTATTTTGCGGCGTTACGGAACCAGTTAATGCAGAGTAGGAAGACGCCTCCGGATCGTTGTACGTGTAGTATAAATCTGGATGGTAATACGGCCCGGAATCTTCTTGGGGCGCATGAATGAAAAGCACATTGCCTATAAAAGTGTGTAGAAAGTTGTAAATGGGGCTGTTTAGTGGGGAACCGTTAAATTACCGTGCTCGTAGTCGATGGTACTTCCAAAGCCTGTTCCAGCTCCGTTTGAGTCGCCGAAATGTTCGGTCTCTATAATTTGGGCCCCCCCGCTCAGTCTGGATATGCCATTGGGGGCCTGTGACGGAATATGATGATGGTATTTCGATTGGCCGATGGCTCTGGTTGGTGTAGATAGAGGTGAGTGGTTGTCGTGACGCGGGGACGTTTGCACTTCTTCTTTCTGGGCTGCCTGAGTCAAGTTGATGATTAGGTCCTTCGATTGGCTATTACTGCGAACATCAACGTTCAATTGACTACCTCTAATCATTAAGCGTACCACCCACCATTCAAGAGATCATTTACAGGTATTATCTAAATTAGGTGTTACCTTAGCACGTAGTTAACAGAGACTATACAGTGAGGTCTCGAAGATCTAGAGTTGTGTACAATAGTAGCGTAACTCTGCATCCACACCCAGCCACCCCCTTTGCACAAGAACCGGTAGTACTTGGTCGTGACTTGCCCCTTCAATAATACTGAAGCCAAATAGAAATTTGAATTGTAAATTTATCAATTCTACGAAACGCTGAACTGGTTTAGCAAATCCAAGGATTAAGCCATTTATTATCCTTAAGCTTATTTTATGCGATGCTATTTCGCTGAATCTTAGGGGTCCTGATCGCCCATACGTCGCAAAATTCGGGCTATTTAGCAGATTTGGCGAGAAATAAGTGATTATTCCCGTAAAACATGTTAACACTACAGCTATTAGTTGTGGCGCTAGTTGTTTACGAACATATGGCAGTGTTTGAGCTCTGATTTTACTTTTCCCGTGTTCTGCTGAGGCGTACCGCACAGAAACGAAAAAAAGAGTAGGTAATAAAGAAATATTACTTTTCGAAATTGGTGTCTAAAAGAGCTCAAACCAACTAGTTGTTACATGGCATACTTACATTGATGATGAGAAAATCGCATCGCAAAAATATCACTGCCATGTATGTAGTGGTAAAGAGTTTTTTCGATGAGATCCTGAGGTTCATAGCCTGTGAGCTGGGCCACCCTGAAAATAACTTTAAGTTCAAATATCTGGGGCCCAGGGGCGGATCCAGCTTTAAATTCAGGGAGGGGGTTATGTAGAAAAAATACAGGCTTCTGATGTCAATGAAATTGGAAAAATTATCGTCGTTTTGTGCAAGGATGGCGGAAGATTATTGCAAAATTTCATGTTTTCCGTCTCCTTTTTGCTCATATCTCGGAGGCAAAATGAGCAAGAACGCTCCTTTGTACTTCATTCTAGACAGAAATAAATGACCTTTTTAGAAAGTGGGCCATGGATGGGGAAATGTTGGCAGTTTT